GACCGCCAGATTGCCACCTGGATAGCTAGGGCTTAAAAGATTAAAGTGCTCAAAAACCCTACTTCTAACGTTGGTAATACCTACATTGCCTGTGTAACAAAGCAGTGCCCCTCCCTACCCCTGCCAGGAGGGATTGTCACTCACCTTTCCTGAAAGAGAAATTTTCCTACTTGAACACCAATAAAATACAAGGCCAAATACCCAGCACAAGAACAAAGACCTTCGCGATTGGCATCCAAAAACCCATGGCGTGAGTTATCCCCATATCTACCATACAAAACAAAGGCTCTCAATCCAGCACAACTTAGCAGATACTGATACAGAAAAGCAAGTGCTAGTCCAGTTATTCCGTACCAGTTACGACCTGGTGAAAGTCTGAGGAGCATTGTTGATAGCACCTGCAAGTTAATACCAGTAAAATATGATGATGTAAGGAAATTTTAGTGGGTGGTAAGTAGTTTACTGATACAGAGGGAAAAAATAAAAATAGACTTGAAAATTACTGCCAGTGACTGATGTAGAAGTAATGGGTAAGGGAGAGAAAGTGAAAACCCCAGAAAATGAGATATAAAGGAAACAGAACAAGAAAGTAACAATGGTTAAGTGGCAGTTGATGGTACTGAAGAGGTGTAAGCCAGTTCTCTGGTGATTGAATTGACACCACCACCCCACTATTGTGGACAAGAGCAAGCCCCCTGGCTAAACAGATTGAAAGAAAACTCCCATTATTATGGACCTTCGCTTTTATGGAAATGCAGACAATTTCCTATCCCCCCAGTGCAACATATCACTTGTTTTTTCTCTCACTATAGTGGACACCTATGAGTACTTTGTCAAAAACCCTGACTCACAAAATATACAGCAGCATTACAATAAAGCAACATAAAGAAACCATTCTAAGGGGCAAACATGAGAATGTCCTTCTTGTGACCTGATCATTTCTCCTGTGACTTTTACATATTATTTCATAAGCTTAAAGACAAAACAATTTTTTCTCTCATACCCCACTATTACAGACTCTCACTACTGGGTGTCAGCAATAACATGAGTCAACTGTTTATTGACCTTATTGGTTGATGATATGGGCTTATCACTGGCTGGATTTGTTTCTCGGTTGTCGTGAGTTCAAATCCTCAGTTGTACTTGTAAATAACCAGCTGGTTGCCTCCTGTCAGTTTTGTGTTTTAATTCTGTTAAGGTTAATACACACTAGGTAAAAAGTTGCACCAACAAGTCGTGGCAACATGTCACAGAGACAAACCACCTCTTGTGTACTGGAAGATTTTTGCGAAAATCTTCATCTCTGCGACAAAATTTTGTAGCCACAACAAGTGGTACAAATTTAGTCTGATTTGATTTTTTGCGACTTGTTGCAGCGATGAAAATTTTGTTACAGAGATAAAGATTTTCATGAAAATTCTCCTGTACACATGAAGTGATTTTTTCGCTGTGACGTGTCACTGCAACGTGTTGCTGCGACTAGTTGCCCAACCTGCACACAAGGAATGCCCTGTCACCATTACATGTCACTGCAACTTGTCACCTGATGTGTTGCAACCTTTATATTATGTTCTGTAATTTTTATGAATAATAAGATATTTTGGTGGAATGCCTGTAAATGAGCTAGACTAGACAGCTAAGTGCACTTTCAACATCAACAAAAAATATTCCCTTTTCATCATTTTTAACACCATCTACTCACCCTCACAATAACCAAGGTAAAGAAGAAGTTCCAGTGAGTGCCATATTCACTGACATGTTCCTGATAATCTGAACCTTTCACTGAAATGAACCGCATAATTCCAAGCACTAGCAGAGGTAAAGATGACTTTAGAGACCTTATAACTGGTGAAATAAAGCCGGTATTGCCTGTGGAAACACCTCTTGCCTCTGGTGATACAATAGCATTTGAAATTATGAATGATCCCACTCCAACATCCATGAGTCCACTTCCAAAAGTTTCAGCTTTTGCAAGACGCCGGGGAAAGATGACAAAATCGACTGCCAGTATAGCTATGGCAGTGGCAATCAAGACATATGCCCTGAAGTTGCCAATAAAGGGTCTTTTCCCAGACATATCAAAAGAAAGAATAGTTTGAGAGTTTAGATGTGTTTGCTCTCTGTAACTTCTCGCAGAGCAGAGAACTAATACTCCTAGTGATAGAGATAAACAAGTGGCAATTAACAGGATGATGTAATCAGCGAGCACAGTGCAACCAAGAAGAACAGGAACAATTAAAGTGGAGAAATCCAACACAAAAACCAAGCTGCAAAATAAAAGAAGTGTCCTTTTAAAAAAGAGCTTGGCAACTTGTTAACTGCTCAAAAATAAGCCTATCATTGGCCATTCCTTAGGGGGAACCTTGGGCAAATACAACTTTGTCTGGGGACTTCTAGGGGAATTTGACAGATTGCTGTACCTTGGAGATGGGGGAAATAAAGAAGTCTGGCTTACAACAACCTTGTACCATGGGCAAAACTGGGGGCTTTTTACAAAGAAATTCAGTCGATTTCACGCGCTCTTAAATTAAGGCTATATACATGTCAGCCACTTGTCCAGAAGATTGCGGGCTGATCTCTCCCCAGTGGTGGAAATAAAGGCAGACTTGGGGAACTGAGTAATCTCAGGTTTTGTTATGTACATCAATTTGAGGGAAAAGTACTATTTTCTAATCAGCTGAGCTGGGTCAATATAATGGCATCTCAAGTTTATTATGGTTGCATGTTGTTCAATATAAGTTTTTAGTAAAATCCAGCTAGTGGTCTATTATCAAAGCTACTAGGCTATATGTTATAGCCCACTAGTAGCGAAAAGCGCGGGCTTTTTGGTGGCAAAAAAGGATTAAAGGCTAGCTTTAAGTAACTAAACTTTTTTTTTTCTCGATATTTTTTACCAACTAGTTGGATTTTACTAAAACCATTATTCTTCTCGCCCTCATGGCTTCTGAGTCAATAGCCCATTCGGCCTTCGGCCTCATGGGCTATTGAATCAGAGCCCATTCGGGCTCGAGGAATAATTGCTAAATATGATAGCCCTATTGGAGGGGGAATTTCTTAAACTTGGATTGCTCTGTGTCCCCATCTAGAAGGGGGAAATCAGGCACTTTCACACGGTCCTTTACAAAGTCCCCCTTCCTTGCTCCCCCTCCCCCCGCACCCCCACCCCAAAGGAATAACCGGTGATAGGTGCATAACCGAAAATTAACCTGAAGAGACTTACAAGCAAAATAACCATCTTGACAGCTTCGCTTTCTCGTTCAAAAACAGCAGACTGAACATGAATGTCCTTAAAATAACCGCTACTGGCGCGGTGCTAGCAACCAAGCTGACTTCCATCAATGATGTGCCGTTTAGATCACTCACGAATCGCTCGTGAATCTCTTTGTAGGTAAGGTTTCTTGAAAACTCCATATCGTCCACCATGTTTACTATAGCGCCCAGTTCTCCTCGCCTCTGCGCAACTTGGACGCCTGGTGATTTTCAGCTTCTGGCATTCTTCTGGCATCCATTCTTCGTAATATCGATGTTAATGTTCCTATTTTTAAAAAAATTCACTGCCTTAATGCGTTTAAGCTTGCGTTGATTATGACCCACAAAGAGTTAATTAAGCGGATCTTTTCATTGCAAGAAGAAAGAGTCAAAGTGTACAAAGCTTTTGACAGGTAGGAAGGCGCAGGGCTGACCTTCATTACATGCGCGATTTTCGATTTTGTTATACTCATTATTTATTTATTTATTTATTTATCTGAATAGACCTTTTAGCTTGTATATTTTTTAGTGTAAGATTGGTGATCTTAATCAAACTAGAGAACTGTTTCTTTCAAATTTTGACGCATAAGTTATGAAAGGACAAAGTTAACAGGGCCCACATACTACATTTGGGAAAACAAAGAAGCTGAGGATGTTTTAAATTATTAAGCACAGAGTTGATAAAGCATTCGACAGGTATTTCCAAATTGATAACATGACTTATTGTGTTATAAAATGGGTCTGCAAACTTGCTACACTGTATGGTACATGATGACCTAATTGTATCATCAAGCATGCCAGCAGGGAAATGAAAAGTAAAAGTGAGAAGGCACAGCTGTTAGCATAACCTGAGAAAACAGCCAACATTTTCAACGCCACCACTGGTTTTCCCACAAAATGATGTCCGAGAAATGAGTGCAAAAACTTCCCTACTGATGACGCATCACTCCCCAGATCTGGGTAGTGCTCCTGATTGGTTGTGCCACTTCAACCAAGTTTACCTTATGGCACTGGGTAGTGATGTGTCATCAGTATGGAATTTCTGCACTTGTTTCTTGGACGTCATTTTGCAGGGAAACCAGTGGTTTTTTCTCCAAGCTAAAGTTAGCAGTGCTGGGGGCCCATTTCTTTTTGGGAGGGGGGCGGGGGGGGGGGGTGTTTGTGGATATTTTCTTCTGCAAAATAAAGTCTTCCATGACTTTTTCCCCCAAAAGGAAGGAGGCATAGACCCAATTCAAAAATGGCTGCTGGATTAGTATTCTTTTGTTTAAATTGAAATTAGCCTGACTAGCCTCGTTCTTCAGTACAAAATTCAAAAGAATACATTATCTCAAGCGAGGCTAGTCAGGCAATTTTAATTTAAACAAAAGATTACTGATCCTGCAGCCATTTTTGCATTGGGCCCACTGCCCCACTTGGTGGCCCTATTCTCACCCAGGTTCACCCCTCCATGTCAAAAATAAGAAATGTCTATTTTCATCAATTTAATCTTGTGTTTCAGTGGTTTTACAGAATATCTTCAAACTGGTCCTGACTATGATTTTCCATCATATCGTGAACTTGTACACAATGTAACTCAGACATTTAATAACATATCAAATGAAGTCATTGACATTGAAACAAAACTGAGGGAAAGTGGACAGAGTGCCATAAGTGAAGTCATCAGAAAAATACAGCTGAAAGAAAAAGAAAAATTAGAGTTGGTAAGTTTTTAAAGTAGTTTTTAAGAGCCTCTGGGAGCAGCTGAGAAG